GGGTGTCAGTGACAGGTCGCGCCGGAGGGATGTGTGGCTCTTGGCAGCAGCCAGCAGAGCAGCTGGGGACAGCGAGCAGATAGAAAGTCAAAGTAAAGCTGATCGTGCAGTGATGTTTTCCTTCCAGTGTCTTTCAGGCTGCGGGAACCTGAAGTGTTGGAGCTTCTAGGCCTCAGAGTCTCAAGTGAAGCTTAAACTTAGGTTCATGCCTGTATAAGTGATAAGCGAAGTTCACTTAACCATATTACTCGTTTGTCAGGTGTTAGTGAGTCCGGGTCTGTACTTAAAGGAGTTCTTGCTCCCTTTGGGCACCTTGTGGAGTTGTTTGCTGCTGCTGTGATGGAATTGACACCAGGCTGTGTGTTAATACTTGAATAAGGAAGTTCAAGACAAGTCAGTTTTATGATCCGTGTCTGACAGCAGTGGGAAGTGTCTGTCTCACACCTTCTGGTCTCTCAGCTTCTGTGTTACATGAAACGTTCCCTGGTTCTTCACAGTGAGAGTCTGTTTAAATCGTGTGCTGTTGGTAAATGCTATGTCCATTTGCTGTCCTGAATCAGCCCAGCAGGTAATTAGCCTAAGGTGTAATGAAGGCACTTTGGTTGTAGCAGTAAAAGGCTGTGTGGACATTGTTTTGTAGGAGCACAGAAATGGTGTGTGGAGTGACCTGAGGAGGTCACATAGTCCAGTCTCATACTTGGAGCACAACTGTTGTCAACACTTGATGAGCTCAGCTCTACCTTTGTTTAAGCAAGGCTTGGAAACATCTAAGCATGGAGCATCCGTCACCTCCCTGGGTGACCTGTTACAGTGCTGCACTGCTCTCTGACAGAATGGCTTTTCCTTCAAATACAGGCCAAGACTTTCAAGCTGCAGTTTGTATTTCTTCACAACATCCCTAAAAAACATTGCTGTGTTTGAACTATTCCTGTTTTAAGTTAGGCTTGTAGAAGAAAGGTTTATTCTCTTTAAGTCATGTGAACCAGATTGCCTTTTGTGAGCAACCTGAGACACTTGTGGGGTGATCTTTCTCAGACATTTATAGGGTGATCTCTCTCAGATGTCTCTCTGTTTTATTTCTCATAGAATGTGTACAAAATGTTTGTTTCCTCTTGAAATTTCATTGTTTAATAGATGTGAAGTACTTGGGTAATGTAAGTGTGCCACTAGTGAGTAGCTGAACACCTCAACAGGTGTATTATTGCCCGAATTTCTCTCTGCAATTAGCTACCTCTTACCTATCAAGTTACAGACTAAATGAGACACAGGTGTATGGAGTAGTCTAAATCACTCTTTACATGTAATTCTCTCCATGTGGCCAACAACTGAACATAGTCTGGTGTCTGGTGAGGAGAAACATTATGTGATCAGACAATTGCTGTATCATGGTATTTATGTAAGTGGGTAACACGAGGCTTCCCTGCACAGCCCTCAGTTTTCACTGTTGATTGCGATGTCAGTAACAGTAGTGAATTTTCCTGTGCCTTGAAGATTTAGGTGCACACACCAAATCTCTAAATAGTACTGTTTGTCTGTTACGATCCCTGTGGATCTCCTGTGCCATGTTGGTGAGGTGGGATGGGATGTTGTTGATGGGGCCTGTAGCTAACAGCACAAGAATGATGAGACTCTTGCCTTTCCTCCAAGCTGTCTGCTAATCTACTCGGGCAAATTCGGTTTGGCTACTTTTCTTGGTTTTGGTTGAAATATCGTCAGAAATGGAATGTGATCTCTGCAGACTTAAATACTAATTCCTGCTTGAATTAAGCATACCTGCTCTGTTTTAGAAAATACTGAGCATTCCAAAGGGACTTGCTGCTGTATGGCAAA